ATCTCCCTGGTGTAGTTAAACGTGTTCCTCTGTCCCCTGCACTTCCTACATATTTGGTGGCTGGGATCTAGAGACTTGATCAGATTCAAGTTCAAATTCTTGACAAGATTTCATTGTTGGCATTGCATTCTTCAATCAGGGACAGATAATCTGGTTGCCTCCCTTTTTGTGATGTTAGCAGCCATTGACAAGCAATGTTGCTGGTACTTGATGTGGAAGTTTTGCAAGTAATTCCGTTGTCTGGAGCTTGATCTCTGAGAGACTCCTAGGAAGCTCTCTTTCCTCAGGCCCCTCTGTTCCCTCCACTTCCTCAGTTTCTGACACAATGCTGATCTTCTAACTATCAGCTGTGCCCACCCACTGCGAGAACCTTACAGAAACCTTGTCGCCTGGTGATACTATAGACATTGTCTGTGGTGTTTGGTTTCACTCTTTAATGGAATTTGGGGAGATTCAAAAACTTTACACCCACCTCCCGTCTAGCTTTTTAGAACAATGCTGCTTGTTTTTAGCTTCTTAAATTGATCATTTAATTCATTAATTTTCAAGGTTTTTTGTTGTTATTTTAAGAATTAAAAAATAAATGTACCACAAGTACTTCTTTAGCTACATCCCATCAGTTAGTGTTTTTTTTAATGTTAACTTTGATCATATGACTTAAGTTGGGCCTACCAAGTTTCTCCACAGTAAAGTAATTCTTTTTCCCTACATCTCAGCAGTTTTTAAGTGAGTATTTTCATTGCTGCTCAGTTATAAGTAACTAGCAATTTATTGCAATTTTTCTCTAACCCATGAATCTATAGTTGTGCATTTTCAAATTTTCAAGGATATGAAAGTTTGTATTACCCTTTTCTTATTGCTTTCTACATAAACTGCATTGTAGTTAGGCATAGTTGTATCCATGATATTGAATTTTTGGCATTTATTTAGACTTCAACTGTGAACTAGTACATGGACAATTTATTTTAAAAGAATGTATACCTCCAACTCTTGGGCAGAGAATATATATATTCCATTTATATACATATAAGCCCTGCCACTGGCAGACAGATATATGTGTGTATACAAATACACAAGTATACACACATATATATTTACTATAAATATATATATATACTGTATTTTAAAAATAAATACAAGTCAAGCTTATTAATTGTTTTGTTCAGATTGACTGCTTAATCTATTGGGTTTTTTCCTTTTTTTCATCCATTGGTTTTGACAGAGGTAATTTAAAATCTTCTATCATGACTATAGACTTATCAAATTTACCTTTTAATTCCTCACTTTTGCTTTATATATTAAAGCTATAATGTTGGGAACATAAAAATTCATAATTCATAAAGCTTATTGGTTGATATATTGTCCCCCTTTTTTCCTATGTATCATTTCTACCACAAATTCTATTTTATCTAATATTGATATTGCTTTGTGAGCTTTCTTTGGTAAGCATTTTTAATGCCTTTTGCAACCTCTGGTGTGGTTTTGTATCAGGTTATCTAATTGAAAAATGATCAATCTGATAAACTGTGTCTTTACTTGGTGAGTTTAACCCATTTAAAATTGTGAATACCAATATATTTGGACTACACTCTTGTTTTGAGTTCCCATTTACCATATTTTTCTTTTCTTTCTGTTAAACTGAGATCATTTTCTGCATTCTCCCTTCCCCCTCTATCAGTTTGGAATGTACAGATTGCACTGTAACCGGACTTGTTTTTCAACCAAAGTTTCTCAGAATTTCTATTCTTTCCCTAAATATGATAAGAACCTTAGCAGGCCTTAACTACCTATTGATTTCTCCCCCCCAGTTTGTGATTTTTGGTTAGAGTTTTCATTTTTATTTTATCTTTCTTAAAAACACAAAAAGGTTTTATAACAATTAGTAGTTACATTTATTTATTGTCATATTTCATCCATTTCCAGGGTCATCATTTCTTGTACCCCTTACTTGTATACCCACTTTTCTTCTTGCTGAAATATACTTTGCAATGACTAAAATAATGATTAGAAAGATTATTAAATAACAGGAAAATTTTAAAAGATAATAATATAATTTTAAAATTACAAATAAGTACGGTTGCTGCTGTTGTGTGCCATCTAGTCAATTCCAACACACAGTGACGCTATAGGACAAAGCAGAACTGCCTCAGAGGGCCTCCTAGGCCGAGATCTTCATGGGGCAGACTGCCAGGTCTTTCTCCCGTGAAGCCGCCAACCTTTTGGCTAGCAGCCTAGCGCATAACCATTGTGCCATCAGGGCTCCTTTTTAAGTATGATTATAATTGTTTTAAAAATCCTCTTCATAGAGGAAAAAACTGAAGAAGAAAAAAAGAGTTTAAGGATCACACCAGAGGGTCCTGGGCAGACCTGGAGAAAATGTGAACAAAATTCTAACTCACCAAAAAAAAAAGACCAGACTTACTGGTCTGACAGAAACTGGAGAAACTGCAAGAGTATGGCCCCCAGACACCCCTTCAGCACAGAAATGAAGTCACTCCTGAGGTTCACCCTTCAGCCTAAGTTTAGACGGGCCCATAAAACAAAATGAGACTAAATGGACACACCAGCCCATGGGCAAGGATGAGAAGGCAGGAGGGGACAGGAAAGATGGTAACAGGGAACCCAAGGTTGAGAAGGGAGAGTGTTGACATGTCGTGGGGGTGGCAACCAATGTCACAAAACAGTATGTGTATTGTTTACTGAGAAACTAATTTGCACTGTAAACCCTCATCTAAAATACAATAAAAAATGAAAGAAAAAAAGAGTTTAGATTAGGTAAGACGTAGTACTAATACTGTAGTTAAGGCCAAGAATTCCCAGAACACCTGTCCCCCTACACCATCATCCCCCTACACCATTCTTGAAACTAAAGCAGGTCCTGCTTACTACAGCAGGCCCCTCTGGGACTTGGAAAATCAACACAATATAGGAGAATGAGCAGGGGACTCAGAAGACCTGTGCTCAAGTTTTAGCTCTACCACTGACTGGCTGGGCAAATTGGGCAAGTTACTGACCTCAGAGTCCTCCTGGATGAAGTGGAATAACCTACCTTACAAGATGTTTGTTAAGAGGAGTAAATGACACAGTGAACATAAAAGCATTTCACAAAACTATAAGGAGATTATATATATACATATCTGTATGTATATGTACATATGTGTGTATAATTTTTTTTTTACTATAAGGCAGAATATACAGTAATATTATCAGACTAGATGAGCCATGCCTGCTACCAGCCAAGCCAGACTGGACCCAAAACAAACTATGTAACAAGACAAGGACGGCTCCCCCACCCCACTTTCTACTATCCGACTTCTGTGGCAGCCATGACTTTTCCTCCATTAAAATGCTAGGGTGAGCACGCAGCTTTCATTACCACTTCCGTGACATTCAGGCTTACAAATTAGCAAGTGCTTTCCTTTTTTATTTCTCTAATGAGGTAAGCTAGGCTGAGCACCTGGCAGCTGCCATGGCCTGGACTTCATATCACCAGCATCATGGCTCCCCGTGCACGTTAATTATAAGCGGCATTCTAGCATTGGTCATATTTTCTAGACTTTGACCTGTTTTTGTTCATTTCCTTCCAGTTCAACTTTTTATTCAACTCCTTCCAGTTTCCTAATAAATCTGTATTCTTGTTAATAGTTAGCATTCCTAAATTAGAAAGTTGCCAGCTATTCCAAGTAGTAAGAACGCTCATCTAAGCTCCTTTGAGATCAAGCTTGGATGGCTTCTTTGTGTAAGGCTAATGTACTGTTGTGTTATAATAGATCTGTAGGATCATGGCAGGTCCTAGGGCACACGGAAAGAACAAAAGAGGATGGGAGGACAGTCTCATTCAGCTGTCTCTCACTACATGACTTATTTAATAAAGCAAAAACACGGTTACATATTAGCCTATTTGTTTTCATATTAACAATCCATTTAGCTTGTGTTTGCAGGAGGGAGTTTTGTGAGGATAATTATGCTTCCTGTTCATGTTCGTGCCTGACCACAAGGGAGGGTAAGTGGTAAAGGAATCAAGTTAGCATTTCTTGTGCTTAGTTTAATTCTGTTTATTTTTAACATGAAAATGGAGATAGTTTAAAGGTATAGGAATGAAGGACAAGTGCTATTACAGGTTTTTAGGAAACAGACTGAAGCTTTTAGGGATTTTCAACATTTGCCCCCAAAATGTCCCAATATCTTAGGATAACATTTTGAGAATGGTCAGAAGATCAGACTTCCTGGTCAAAAAGGCTCTATTCACCCAAATTTATACATTAAGAATGGCAGCAATTAAGGCATCCCCATACACCATGCAAAGCAGGAGAGGATAAAGAAAGAGTGTGGGAACAAGGACACAGTTTACAATCACCAGTCCCCTTCCACTATATGAGAAATTCATTCATCTCTAACAGCCTGATATCATGATTAAATTATGCTGCCTGCCAAAAAAAAAATAACTGTCGTCCAGTCAGTTCCGACTCATGGCAACCCACGTGTGTCAGGGTAGAACTGTGCTCCATAGGGTTTTCAAGGCTATGACCTTTCAGAAGTAGATCACCAGGCCTTACTTCCGAGGTGACTCCAGGTAGACTCGAACCTCCAACCTTTCAGTTAGTAGCTAAGTGCTTAACCATTTGTGCCACCCAAAGACTCCTATACTACCTGAGGACTGGGATAACCTGAACACAGATTTCAGTGTTATATCTTCAGTCTTGCTGGGTTAAAGGTGAATCTGAGACATTCGCAAGAAGTAATCCAGAGAAAGGCAAGTTGGTATTGAGAGAACAGAAAAGGACAGACAAGTGAAAACAAAGGCCTACTCACTTCTGCAGTTACTAACCCAACAAATCCATCCAAAATTATCAAGGCTTGGCCTGTACATTAAGTACAGATGATACTAAAACAAAGTAAGACTAAGGATGACTATACCGCCTTTGTTAAGACAAACCTTAGTGACCTCACCAAGAAATGTCCATGATGTCCTTCAGTGACAAAAGAGCGCGCAGACTCACCTCGTGCTTGGAGAAGAGCCGGACAGCCTCCAGCTGGTGGAACACAGGGTAGTGCTGGGTGTCGATCTGGTCACGCCGGTAGACGTCGCCCACCACCAGGAAGGCATCCAGCCCCGCGTGCACCAGGTCCCACTGGTGGGCCGACGTGTGCGCCCGCAGCATGTGCGTCCGGTTCAGATAGTAATTGTCCCCCTTCTTCCTGCTGGGGTGGTCGGCCGCGATGAGCAGGCTGTCAAAGTTCTGCCAGGTTGTGACCACTGGAGGAAGGTCGTCGTAGACCGAGAAGAGCGGGGTCCCAAAGCGGCCCACGTACTGCTTGTAGAAGTGCTCCTTCACCCTCTCCTTGACCAGCCACAGTGGGTGATGCTGCTGGTTGTGCAGATTCCTGCCGACCTTGGAGAGGACCTTCCTGGTGAGGTTGGTGTGGTCGTCCTGTGGGTAGGCTCGGCCCAGCACCTCCACCACACCGCCTGCAGCTCCCTGGGCAGTGCACTCGGAAGCATCAGGCCCTGCACCCAAGGTCTGGTGCTGACAGCCTCTGGAGGTGCTGCTGACCGTTCTCATCAGGTATGCACCCGCACGGGCCACCCTCCGGAGACCTGAACAAACCATCGTGGAAGCTTCTCCTAGCAGATTCTGGAAAGGGCACACACAGAAAGCACAACTGTCACATTGTGGGAATGTGCAAATCTGTCCTTCATGCCTCCCACCGTCTCTCCACTGTACCCCTGACATCTATGGTTCCCCAACACCACCACCTCTACGCCACCGGGATCCAATTAAAGAAACGGGCTGACAGAGCTTAATGATAACTGCATGAAATCAAAAGAACCTCAAGTCACTTTCAGATACCCGCTCAGCTCTAGCTGTCCCTCCCTTCCCACTTAGATACTTGTCCTTGTGGGAAATTATGTCGCATTCTGAAGTCCTCACGTGAGACAAAAGTTTAGATGTGGCAACTTCCTTTTACTTTCCATTATTTCTAGAACCAAAATAAAAAAAAACTTAGAGGCATCACCTAAAATACAAGACTTGGTAAGGCCCTAGGAAGGGTCTCATTAATTAAAGGAAGCACATGATTTCATATGTGCCTCTAAGATCTAGTAGAAGAAATGAAATTTTGCCCAGCCATGGTGCACATGTCTACCTTTTATCCTCATAACTGCAAAGTTCTGCTTAACTTTGACAGAACATGATGTCTGGATTATTTTACTGTACAACAAAATGACATTACCAGTACTTTTTTAAAAATTTTATCTTGAACATTTTGAATAAGACACACCAGTTTCAGTGGTGGTTATTTCTACATAATAATTTTCAAAAATACACTTATAGAAATATTACACAAAGCAATAGACCATCCCAAGGGACAGTTGAAATCATTTTTATAATGCAAATCTTTTCTATCCTCACATCTGCTCATATCATTTAACCTTCATACTATTACAACATCCCATCAGTTATGTCTTTGTTTTGTAAAAAGCAAATTTCTCTCTGCATCCACAATAAATCTCCAACCTTTCAGTTAACAGCCAAGCACTTAACCATTCGCACAACCCAGGGACTTCAAGGACAGAGTACTGAGCCACATAGTTTTAATATAAACAAAAAACTAGGATATAATAAGAAGACCATCACATTTCAGAGTCGAGAGTGGCCTCAGAAGCCATCCAGCACAAGCCCTTCATGTCACAGACGAGGTGACAGAGGCCCAGAGTACAGGGATTGCTTACCAAACCTAAGGCAGTCAGAGAGCTAAGACCACAACGAAGGATTCTGGAGCAAGGACATGGTGTTCTTTCCTCAGTACCCAAGAAGCCAGGTTTCAATTCACTCAGAAATCTCAGTAATGAAAGCCATTAGATGGTAAGACCGTATGTCCATAAACAATTTACTATGAACTGAAATCACCCAAATCCATCTTCTAAAACATAAAATCTTTATCAGGCTACTTTATAGCAAACAAGTATGTGGTTATTATACTTCAAGGGCCATGCAATCATAGCAAAAGAAAATTATATTTATATATATATAAAACTTGATGAGACTAAGCTGCATTAGGAGGGAATTATATTGCTCCAGAGGACCACCAAACACATACCTAGCATGTACCTGACTCAGAAATAGAACTGAGACTATCTCCATGTTAAAGTATGTTGTGTGTGGATGACTGCTTATCAGAAGCCTGTGCACTGCACCTTTGTCTGAGGCTGTTGTAATGTGAGAAGTTTTCAAAGATACCCAGGAACTCTCTGAATTCATTCGTTAATGGTGGTATTTTGTCAGAGATGTTCCGAAAAGTGTTTCTGGCTGAGCTTCAAATGAAACAGGTCTTCCCATCTACATTGCTCAGTGGCTTGTCACTGCAGTAGATATGAATTTTAAATATACACATGCAGCCTTCCAAGTCTGGGCACAAAGTGATATCGTGAAGCTGTTAGCTACCCAGCTCAGCACCCTTAGCAGGACACAAGAAAGCATTTCTTCTTTCCAAAGGCATATGCTCTTATACCAAGTTCAGAATTGTTCTGGGAGAGGCGCTCTGTCTGATGCAGTTATTCATGACTGGCTGACTATTCTTTCCCCTCCAGTTTCCAGCATCTAGAAACTTGTAGGTTCTGTTCCCATAGAGTTCCCCACTCACAAGTCCTTTTGTAGTTCTGCTCCACCACTCCAGCCCCAGCTTGACAAAGAAAGTTTAATTTTCTTGTCCTTGTTTTCAAACTTTTTATCTACCTGTTCGGCCCTGCATGTATTCCTCACTCTCATTTTACCCTACCCAAGACAATCCCTTGCTCTCTGCATTATCATCTCTTGTAGAGATTAATGACTAGGACAGCTTTCCCGCTTCCATCTGAGAAGTGCATTCCTTTCTATCTGCCTCTAATTTCTCTACAAGAAATAGTTCACCTGGAAGATACAGGAGATCCAGGAAGATAGCACCACCAATAACAGTGATACCTGTATTGGTTAGGGGCCTTTCATTTCATCCCGTCAACAATCCCGTCAGGTAGGTGTTTTCTAACCACTTAAAGACAAAGCAACTAAGGCTCAAAGAAATCATGTATCTTGGATAGACATACATCTAGCAAATGGAGCTCCGTGGACCCAGTTCCTCTGACAAAGTTCAGAACTCTTTGAACAACAGAAGTACTTATCAATCAAAACAGATCCAAGGCTGTTAAACTCAAATTATAACTCTTTAATCACCTCCCTTGTTGTTGTTGTGGTTTTCAGGTGCCATCAAGTCGATTTCGACTCATAGAGACCCCATGTGACAGAGCAGAACTCCCCTCTAGGGTTTTCTAGGCTGTAATCTTTATGGAAGCAGAATGCCTGGTCTTTCTCCAGTGGAGCCACTGGGTGGGTTCAAACAGCCAAGTTTTCAACTAGCAGCAGAGCACATAACCATTTTGCCACCAGGGCTCCTTTCACCTTCCTTACCCTCTGTATTATCTGGGTAATTTAGATCACACATTAACGCATTTTAAGTACATAAGTGAATGAATAAATAAATTCAAGTAAAACACATTAACTTAGATGGAGGAAATGAAATCATTATTTAACTCAGGGCCCAATGGCCAAATCTGCCTGTGGATTGTTTCTGTAAACACACTTTTGTTGGTACACAGCAATGCCCATTTGTTTACGTGTTGTGTGTGGTGGCTTTTTCCTACAAAGGCAGAGATGGGCAGTTTCCATAGAGACCCTATGGTCAACAAAGCCTAAAAGATTTACTATCTTGCCTTTTACAAAAAAAGTTTGCTGACTCCTGTTTTAGCTCAACTGACTGAAAAGTTCTTCCATACTCTTAGGAAAAATCTTCCTAGTCGCAAATATAAGTAGAATGCACACTCACCAAAAGTGACAAAAAGTACATATGTGGGTACTAAACATGCTAACTTTGGTACAGAAGAGACACTGAAACCAACAGTGAGGACAGTCAACACCATATCATTGGGAAGAGGCCAGGTTTTGCAGACGCTTCTGTGAGTTTGGTCATAAACTGGCCACTTAGCCACTGGGTATCAGGCAACGGTTAAGTGCTCAGCTGCTAACCAAAAGGTCAGCAGTTTTAACCTACCAGCAGCTCAGTGGAAGAAAAGACCTAGCGATCTGCTCCCGTAAAGATTACAGCCTAGGAAACCCTATGGGGCAGTTCTACTCTGAACATACAAGGTCACTATGAGTTGGAATCAACTTAATGGCACACAACAACAACAACATCCTTGGACACATTATTTGACCTTTCTGGCACTCAAGTTCCTCATCTATAAAACAGATAACATAATATCTATCTCCCAGTGAAAGGATTAAACTAGATCCTGTTCATACAGTACTTAACTCATTGCCTAGTACGTTAAGTGTGATGTTAAGATTGTGTGTCAGTTTGGCTGGGCCATGATTCTCAGTGTTTATATGTCATCATTCCCATGATTGAATATGCTGTGAGTAGCCAATCAGTGGAAAGCGAGTATCCTTGGGGGTGTAGCCTGCATCTGAATATAAGCAGACATTCTGGCTTTTTGCTTGCTCTGGATCCTGCAGGTGCCTCCTGTTCATCTGACCTCCGGTTCTTAGGACTTGAGCTAGCAGCTTATCTGCTGATCCAGGGATCTGTCGATCTTCATAGCCTGTGAGCAGAGTCCTGCTTTCCAATCTGCCGATCTTGGGTTCGTCAGCCCCTGCGGCTACGTGAATCAGGAGAAGCCTCTATCCTAACCCACAGACTTGTGACGTTCCAGCCTCTACAATCACATAAGCTGTTCTTTGATATAAATCTCTCTATATATATATTTATACGCTTTACTGGTTTTGCTTCTCTAGAGAACCCAGCCTAAGACAATAAGGGATAAGATGAGTTGAAACAAGAGTTTAAAACGACCCAGAGATGTCTAGAGACCAGGTAACAGAAAACAATGAAGTCACTCATCGAGACAGGGAACCCAGGATGGACCTTTTTGTTTGTTCAGGTGATTTTCATGTGTGTGTTTATGGCTGCAGAAGGAAACAGCTTTGGGCATGTTGAAGTCAAGTATGAGTGACACAACCATGTTGTAATTTCTGGGAGGCAGTGTGAGGTACAGGCTTGGAAGTGAGGTAAGAGGTTCATTCTAAAAATGTAGATTTTGGGAGTCATTAGTATAGGGGTAAGAGATAATATCATAAGGCTATATAAGAACCCATGGGAGGGTAAGAGCAAGAACTGAAATGGGCAAAAGACAGACCACCTGGAAATTATATTTAAGGGGTGGGTATTTAAAGAGTAAGCCAGAGAAGAACAACAAGAGTACAGTATCACAGAAGCCCGGGAAAGAGTTTCTAGAAGGAAAGTAAGGCTTTTTCTGAACTCAAATCTCACTCTATATACAGTGCTGATATACTGCATTATGTCTATTTATCTGTCTGTCTTACAGTTAGACTATGTGGTCTGTGAGAGTACAGCACAAGCTCCCTCACCCCACTTTTTAAAAAAGAAATTTATATTCCCAGAGGCTAGTGCTCCAGCTGACACTGGGTAGGCATCTAAAGTGAAACCTGTGAGAGCTGGAACTCAACAAGACTGCTCTGTTTTTCCGGGTCTTGCAAGTTTTCTGCCTTTGACTTTAAAGTGGGACATATTTGCGTTTTCCATCTCTGACAGGTTTCCACTTTACATAGGTTCCAGCTAAATACTGTACTAAATATCTGGTAGAAGAGGAGGAAGAAAGGAAAGAGGGTAAAAGGGAAAAAGGATGGAAGGGTCAAACACCACAAAGAGGTGAGGTAGGGCTTAGCCAAAGTAAAGAACTATTGAACAAGATGACCATCAACAGAGCAATTTCAATGGCTGGGTGAGGACAGAAGTCACATGAAAATAGCTTAAGATATGAATGGAAC